TTGGATTGGATAGAGATGACTAGTGCGCGCGCGAGGCATTAGTCGGCTTCGCCCGCGCCGCGCACACCTCGAGGAACGGCGCCAGCGCGCGCCTCCCGACAGCAAGACAGTAAGACGTTGCACACCCTCGGACAGGATACTCTCAGGACCCCGTCCCGACACTCTGCAGGACGAACGGTGCGGAAGGGTTGTCGGGGCGCGTGATCTCTTCGTAGATGAGCACTGTCGAAGTATGAGCAAGGTATAAGGAAACGAAGAACGCGGGATGGGAAGGGGTACACAACAGGAAAGGGAAGCAAGCAAGGACGGGGTACGTCGCACGAAAAGGAGGAGATGATGGAGGAAGAGAAGAAAACGAGGAACATGGAATGTGAAGGCAACGTACCTTTGAGGTCCTCCTTCCCCAGCGGGTCCCCGTTGTCAAAGTCGAAGAACGACGGGTCAATGGGGTCTGCGGTCGGCTCGTCGGCGGGGTCGTGGTATGGCTGGAAGGATAAGAGTCAGCACTGGGACAAGGGTACGAGCCAGGGAGGAGGCAAGATTGAAATGAGACTGGCTCTTCCCGCAGACCGGCGAGCGTGCTCTTTGCGCTGCGCAGAACGGCGGTGCCGGCGTTTTCCTGTGCCCGAAGCTGCACCGAACATTCGCGTGCCGCGGCAGCAACGGTCGATATGTCCGCGACGGAGGAGCCGCAGCAAATCTGATCTGTCTATTCATAACCGCCCTTCCCCGCCGATAAGCACAGCGAGACACGAGCGGACTGTATATCCCTCCGACGATGGTCCGCAACGGACAACGGGTTCCCAATCATGAGCTCGAGACAGTAAGAGCAGCGCGCCGTCGTACGCGGAGCCGCCCCATCCTCCGCTGCATAGCGAAAGACCCACGAATCCCAGGAAGAAAGGCGGATGCGCTCGCGGGATAGACAGTCGGGAGGACGTGTGGCAAGCGTATCTCCGTGCCGCTCGAGAACACTGTAATCTGAGTGAAGACGCTGAAGACGCCCATGCTCCCACGGTGCAGACACCCGTTCTCGCCCTCGACCATTGCACTAAGCCACCCGTTCTCGACCGTCACTGCCTCCCGTCCGCGGACGAGCCGAGGAAACCGGGAAGTAAAGCAACCGCCGTTGTCGCTCGTCCGCCACGTCACGTCATAAGTTCTGTCGCTCCACTCGTCATCATCCTCGCTCATCCATATATAACACCCGCTGCGTCTCGTTCTCCCAAACCCGCCATAGGCGAAGAACGCCCGCCGCACGCAAACCGAGAAGAAGACAAAGAAAGAAAGGAAAGGCAAGGAAAACACGCACCTGTAAATACGGGTGCGCGAGCGCCTCGCCGACCTCGATGCGGCGCTTGGGCGAGAAGGTGAGGCATTTCTCCATCAGGTCGAGGGCCTACGGGGTGGTTAGCATGTGCTGGGATGTGGGGAGGAAGAAGTAAAGGGAAAGGTGGAGGTAGCAGGAGGGAGGGGATCGCCGTCGACCCTATTCGTGCAGCATACGGCCGAGGAGCACAGCGTTCTGCGGCACTCGCGCACGAAAAGAGTCTGCACCATGTGGGGACGCAGCACCGACGGGCGCAAACGAGCGGTATTTTCCGGTGTGGAGCAAGGCCGCCGGGCACAAAAGGAGCGCCGACGTTACGTACGGCGCGCACGCGGAAACCTGACGAACGGCGTTCTTCCGCGCGCGCGCAGTAAGACACCGACGCTGGATCCACAGTCCCCAGACCCCTCGTATGCGAAGGGACGGGGGGCTCGAGCGCAGGACCGACGGCGTGGGCGCGCAGCCCGCTCCAAGCCCACACAAGAGTAAAGAAGCAAAAGGAACGCAGGAATGGGCTAGAGGAGAGACGCACGTCGGGGTTGGCCTTGGGGAAGAGCGCGGCGAAGGGGCGCTTCTTGCGGAAGGGGAGGGCGCGGATGTATTCGCGGCTGGGGGGGTGGTTAGCGAGTGTGTTGGGCGAAGAGAAGGGGACGGGGATGGGATGGGGAGGTGCAACGACAAGGAGGGATAAAAGGACGGAGGAGCGGAGAGGGGGGGCGTACACGAAGAGGAAGAGCGGGAAGGAGGTGAAGGAAGTGGAGGACGAGGATGGGTGCACACGACGCAGGAGGCCGACGAAATATACTCGACGAGTGTAAGCGGTGGGGCGGATGCGAGTGGGAGCGAGCGGATGGGAGGGGGGTTGGGTCAAGGAGGGGGGAATGAAGGGAGAGGAGGACGCGCGTAGGACGGGGCGGGAAGAAGGAGACCGGGGGAGGATCTGAGAGGGGCGTGGGGAGGACGAACAAGTAAGGGGAAAGAGCGGAAGGGAAGGGGATCAAAATGAATCTGGGGACGAGTGGGGGAGAATGGGCGATGATAACGGAAGCGGAAGGGACGGGGAATGACATGGCGGACAGGATGGGGATGAGGAGGCGCGAAGTAACGCGCACATAGCGAGGATGAGGGGGAGCGGGTGGTAAATGCGAGAAGCGAAACACACCTCCGCTGGGATGAGATGGCATAAAAGTCATCGATGGACGGCGTGCCGAGGATGTCGAGGATGATACTCAGTTGGTGGTGGTCTGGGAGGCGAGATGGTTAGCGGAGTGTGGGGGAGGTAAAAGAGAAGAGGGTAGCAAGTAGGAACTGTGGCGTGTCTCCGAGGAGAGAAGCACGCTAGACAGTATGCCTACGGCGCCCGAGGGGAGACTTTCTCGCTTCCAGCTCGCAAGGTGCTCGCTAACGCTCGCGGGAAGCGTCTGCCTGCGGCGCACGCTTCCTTGCGGACAGCCGTGAGCTCGCAAGAAGAATATGCCTACGGCGGACGCCACCTTGCCGCTCGCCGTGAGCTCATAAGGAAGAGAATGGCGCCGCGAGCTCGCCAGGAAGAGTATGCCTGCGGCGCCCGAGAATGCATAGCCTGCGGCGCCCGAAATCAAAAATAAACTGAACTCACAATCCCTTCCCGGAAACAACGGCTTTCCACTCAACATCTCTGCCAATACACAGCCGACGGACCACATGTCTATGGCGCGGGTGTACTCTTTAAAAGTGAGCATAACCTCAGGGGCGCGGTACCATCTGTGGGCGTCGGATGAGATGGATTTCAAATTGCAGGGTGACGGCACGGACCGGGTAGCAACGTATTCCGTCATAAAAGTGCTTGAGTCGTTTGCGACGTTCGGGGGCGGGCGGGCGGAGCGGGCGAGGCCAAAGTCGCAGAGCTGGGGTGTGTGAGGGGTGAGGAACGTGAGAGTGGAGGGAGACGGACCTTTAAGTCGCAATTTGCGTTAAGGAGGAGGTTAGAGGGCTTGAGGTCGCGGTGGAGGACGTCGGCGCTGTGGAGTGCCTTGAGGGCGCGCAGGGTCTGCCTGGGGTTGAGCTAGATGCACACTAGATAATGCAAGCGCCCCACCTGGTAGATGAAATACTGGCAGTGGTCGTCGGACAACTCTTGAGTGCGGATGACACGGTGGAGGTCGGTCTCCATGAGCTCTTGGACGAGATAGACCTCATTAAATTGATCAAGCGAGGGTGGACGGAGAATGTCGAGGATTGCAATGATGTTCTCGTGGTGAAAGTGGCGAAGGAGCTTTATCTCGCGGAGGGTGCGGAGACAGAACATGGAGTGGTCGAAGGGTGTAATCCGCTTGATCGCTACCTTGCGTGCAGTAGTGGTGTGGATTGCAGAGACGACGACGCCGTATGCACCCTCGCCAATGACATCGAGCACAGTGTACGACGACCCGACAACGAACCCAGCAGTGCGAGAGTCCGACATTAAGAGTGTGACCCCGCCGTGACCGTCACACCCCTCCTTCATCCACCACCATGAAGCTCGTCCGCTTCCTCATGAAGCTCAACAACGAGACTGTTACAATCGAGCTCAAGAACGGCTCGGTCGTCCACGGAACCATAACCGGTCCGCTCCCTCTTTTTCCCCGTCTTTTCATCCCACTCACACCCCAAGCAGGCGTCGACATGCAGATGAACACCCACCTCAAAACCGTAAAAATAACAGCCCGCAACCGCGACCCCGCCGCCCTCGACGCCCTCTCCATTCGCGGCAACAACATCCGCTACTTTGTCCTCCCCGACGCCCTCCCTCTTGATACTGTGCGCGCGACGTTACTCTTACTCGGACCCGTACTGACTCGCGCCCACAGCTGCTCGTCGACGACGCACCAAAGCCCAAGGGGCGCAAGAAGGAGCTCGAGGGCGCGCGCGGCCGTGGACGGGGTCGGGGAATGGATCGCGGGCGCGGCAGAGGCGGTCCCCGTGGCGGCGGCGGTGGACGCGGCCGTGGCAGGGGGTTCTAGGTGGGAGCGTGTTGGAGGTTGCGGGGCGGGGCGTTGCGAGGCGGGGGGCTCCGAGGCGGGGCGTCTGCGAGGTGGGCCGTCTACAAGTGTGGAACGCGCACCGGAGATTCGTCCAAGCACGCCGGCCGCCCGCCCCCGCCGCGCGCAACCCAAAAGTCATCACGTCCGGGTCCGTGTGTGTATCATCCACCCATCTTTTGTTTTCTCTTTTCTTGTACCGTCGAAGAATCTCTATCCCTCGCGCAATTGTCATTGAACCGTTACCCCCCTGCGCGTCACCCTACTCGGATGGATCCTGAATTCAAACGCCGTCAATCTTGATTCCTGCGCACAAGATATGCAAGTCTATGTAAGTACCATCTGCGCACTCTGAGCGCACTCTCAGCGCATCGCCCCCCCAATGGACGCTCGCGTCTCTCCGCCGAGGACTTCCCATCTCGACGCCGCGCGAATCCAATGTCATTTTCCTAGTTCAGGCCTCGCCTCGCCGGCCAGTCTGAGTCTACATCCGCCTTCGCCTTTGATTAGGCAGAAGCAGCTCGGCTGTACTTACTACGCGATACCTCTGTTCAAGAGTAGTGACCTCTAAGGAATATGTAAATTAATTCGCGCAGCCCGCGGATGAATTTAACAGCAAAAATTGAATAGAACGCGCCCTCTGCTTGCAGGTATCCCGCGCAACAAAACACTGTCCGCCGAGAGGATCGAACTCTCGACCTCCAGATTGGATGACCACACGGTCACTCACATGCGAATATGAGACTGGCGCTCTAACCAACTGAGCCAGGCAGACATTTTTGAGGCCCAGATTGTGAGGATAAGCGGCCGGGGAGACTAGGTTATGCGGAGAAGAAATAGGTAAGCCGGCTGAAGCCGAGGAATCATCCCCTTCCGGAACTCACCTCAGCAATTCTTCTAAGCTCCATTCCGGGCTTTCACACCAGGTGAGTAAAATGATAAATCCCACACTGTACAGTGCCCACCACCTCATTAGTGGTGCCTGTGGCCTCGTCTGAGGTCTAGTTGTAGGTCATATTTTCATCCACGAGGTTAATTTCGTGATTGATTTTGCATAGCAGAGGGAGAGCCAGAAGGATAGGGCCCATGAGGTGTCTTCACAAGCATTGAACCATTTTTGCTGCAATGTGTTGAGGTGCTCCGGCTTGTTGAGCATCACAAAGTCTGAGATGTGGGCACTACGCAGCCCAATAAGATGTATGGCCTGATCCAGTGCTTCTTTGCAGAGGGAATCCTTGTCATCCTCGCTCGACCAATGTATGGGTTGCGTGGATGAATGTAAAGATATAACATCATGACCGATTAAGCCTGGGAGGGCTGCAGCATCAGGGTGGGACCTATGCTCAATGAAACACCCACAATGGGAGTGTCCCATGGTAAGGTGTATTGAAGGAGTGTACATGTACTGTGTAGGGAGCTTGTAGTCTTCCTCGAGCTCAATGTCATCTTCCTCACATGGTGAGAAGTCAGTATCATTGATATCATCCTCATCAGGGTCTGTGGATAGGTTAGGGATTTCAGACTCATCAGTGGTTGGGGTAAACCCATCTGAATTGAAGTCACTCTCCAGCTCAAACACTGTAGGATAATCGAAATCAAGTACCGGTAATAGATTCCCGTCGCCCTCGTCATCTATTTCTTGCATACTAGCACACTGACTCAGTGGGGCGCCTGTCACCAGGGTGAGTCAAATAGAGGGGTTGGGTGGGGGAGTAGCAAGGCTTCCTCTGGGGCTGACATTGCTGCGATCACATTCCTGTTTTGGAAGTGTATCTCACGGTATCCAAAGTTGAGGACAACCCATGCCTATTCATGAAGGATGTACCGATAATACCATTGTATCGGTTGAGATTCACTTGGTCGAGGTATAGATGCCCTTTAATCCCACTGAAATCAATTGGTGCCCAAGTACTGTAACTGATCTTGGAGTGGCTATCTACACAGCTAAGCTGCAAGGTTATCTGCTCCTCAAGTTGAATTCACAGTGAACCTGTACCATGGGCGTACTCCGGGGTAATGGAGTCCATAACAGGATGTAGGCCTTTGATGGCTCCACCAAGAGAAGAGTGGATAGGCAAGCCATATTTGATCTGACTTGTTTGGGTTGGTCGAGGAAGCCCACAGTCTTTGGTTCCAGGCAGCAGATATTGGACAGTCGCTCTACCAGAGGTTGAGGAGCAACTTGACAGGCCATGTGTTGGACAAACACCCTGGGAATGGTGGCCTCAGAGTTTGCTGGACACGTACTCACCAGAGAGCATGCTCTCAGCATTGTATGTGTCATCAACTTGCGGGTTACTGCACTCTGGTGCTTCAAGGGAGGTATTACTGGGGCCATCTACAATCATCGCAACACTGACACTATTAGCCTGCAACTCCAGAGGTGTCTCAGCCTCAGATTCACTTATCCAAACTGTCGAATCATTGCCAGGGTGTCCACTCACCAAGTTGATGATCTCTTCATGGTCAGAGAGGGAGCCCCACATTTCTTCAGAGTTTCCAGAGGACTGCGGGGAGGTGTGGAGCCAAGGGCGGGTGGAGGAGTGCTTATCAGCGAAGTGGGTACGTTCAATGCATTATCAGGGATGCTATCAGCAGTGTTCTCATCCGTTTGATAATGGTGTAGATGTGAGGGTAGGGTGCTGCTCAGTCTCTCTTTGGACTAGGCTGGATACAATTGTATTCACTTGCTTGGTATGAGTGCATTCCATTATATCTATTGGCAGCTCATCATTCCTCCAGCAGTTCCAGCTCACAGGTTTCATTCTCATCCTCACCTACACTGTTTCTCGAGCAGGAGTGGTCATAGAGACCAGTGCTTACTTGGGGTCTGGCGAGGCAATGCAGTGGAATGTGTGTTACATTCACTTGTCCTTTGGTATCTAAATGAACACCAGATGTTGAATTTATTGCTATTCTGCAAACAAGCTGGTCAACCAGATCCCAAAATGCCTAAATCCAACTGGACCAACAAAGTATGCCCAGCTTGCCACAAAAATCAAGTTGTGCCTGCTCAAGGGCAAACAGAAAATCAAGGTGTAGCGAGCATCCTTGATCTTCATCCATCTGACACAATTCATGTCCACGACCAGGGTTGTGGAGTGACTCCAACTAATTCCAAATGACTCATCATTATTATTAATCCAAAATCCCCCTCAAAATATTATTTCTTCTGGTTTGATAGCTAACACAATTGAGGTCTTACACCGGCATCAAACTGTATAGACAAAGGCATCACGGCATCTCATTATTGGCTCTGCACAAGGATGACACACACACTTTTCTAACATGAATGGAAATTGGAGAGGAATACAGTATTTTGGCGGTCCTTTACACAGTAAAAATTCTTTGTTGAAAATCTTTACTTGTGGGTGCATCGATTGCCTAGCAAAGTTGCTAGGATCGTTCGATAGGTTCTTGAAAGTGCTCTGCTAATATGTAGAGGCTGTACGAACCGAGTTGTGATTTGTTATTAACGGAATTGCACGGAGATCAGTTGTGTCACAGAAATCGATCCTTTACACAGTGTGACAGCTCTGTTCCTATGCTACGGCACCCTCACTCTCCTCGCTGCTTTCGTCGTCCTCGGTGTCGGACTCCTTCGGCTTGGGCTTCAGGGGTCTCTTGGGCTTCTTGGGCAGGTCTTTGGTCCTTGTCCCCGCCGCTTTGAGCCGCAAACATTGCGCTTCCCACTTCTCAACATTCACTCTGTGCACCGCCAGCATCGCCTTCCACTCCGTCGCAAGACACTCTTTCTCCTGCTTTTTTCTCGTCCCTCTTTGCCTTCTTTGCCTCCTTATCCTGTCACCTCCTTCGCCTTAGCGTTCTCCATCGCCCGCTTTTGTGCAATCACCTCGTCCGATGTCAAATGCTGGCCTTTACCTCCCGGGAACAAAACGGTGCGGTCAGACTTTTTACCCTTCTCCTTCTCAAACAGAGACTGTTTCAGCTTCCCCATAGCCATGTTCTGGACGATGAGCTGAGCATTCTGGCCCTGGGATATCGCTTGGTGGGCAGCAAGCAACCTCCGAGCATCAGCAAGTTCGTTCTCCAGCTTTTCGCACCGCGTCTCTAAACCACTGCTGCGAATACATCGGCAGCGTGTTGGACCGTTGAAGTACAGCCCAGTCCGGCTCGCGCACGTTATCTGGAAGGCGCTCAAAGACCGGTGCAGCCAGTTTGCCGATGTCCAGGTGCGTTGCTTTGGCCTTTGTGACAAGGAAGTTCCTCTGACGCTGTGCTAGCCATCCCAACCCCAAGGAGTCGCATGCACTTCCGAGGCGTGAACAAGTCTGGGTCTGACGCGGGATCACAACGTCGCTTCGGCAACAGCAGCGCTGGGTCAATCGGGACATCACGGGCGGCTGGAGTTGGGCTCGAAAGGGAACCGGGGAAATTAGAAGGGCCGGCATGGGGAGGTGAATCGGGATGTAAATCACGGTGCGTGTATTCATGGCTGTGGAATGCGGCCATAACGGCGCAAACGGGGCTCGATTGGGGTAGCGGGAAGGCCGAGTGCGTGAACGTCGCCTCGCTCGGCTTCATCTGCTTTGCGGTGATGACGTTGCGATTAAACGGGTGGATTCCTGGTCGCCGCAAACACCGCTTTCACGAGCTCGGGAGTGAACACCTTGAGGAATGCGCGCCCGAAGACGCCGCAAAAGTCCTCCTTGTCTACGGCACGTTGATGCATCTCCTCGAAGGTGTTGATCTCGAACTTCCAGGCTTCCTTCATCGTCGCGAAGCAAACAACATCAAGACCTTGAAGCACGTGCGTGCAGTGAGGTGGGTACCCCAAAACTATGATCTTGTTCGCCTTGCAATAGTCCAGCAGATCGGCGGTGTAATGCAAGCTGTGGCCGTCCATGAATAACACGCGCATCTCGCCATTGGCTTTGTCCCGAGTCATCGGGTCGAAGTCCTTTTGGATCCAATCAAATGCGAGTCCGCCATCTGTCCAGCTGTTTTCGGAGACACAGATCCTGAATGCAACGTGAGTAAGCTGATCTGTGGTCTTGATCGAGAGGACTTACGACGCGCCAGCTATATTGTCCTCGCCCCATTTCTTCAAGAAATTCTTTCCTTTGAAAATGATGGTGGGCCGCAGTGTCCTACCGTCTGCGCAGATGGTAACCAGCACAGTAACGTTCTCCTGGTTAGCGCCACCAGATTTATGCTGGGTTTTGGCTCCCCTACGGCCGACGACGCGCTGTCGTCCTTGGTTAGAAGGTGGGAACCCGCTTTCGTCCATCCCGTAGATATTCTCCCGCTTGATCCCTTTACTGACACACTCTTTCTCCACCTAGATCAAACCAAGCCTTAACGGCCTCGGGATTCAAGGAGCGTGCACGTTCTGTCGCCAGAGGCTTGCTCCAATGGGTCTGGAGCTCGTCTCGGTAATGATCAAGAAACCGCGGTACCCACACATTTCCCACAGGTTCGCCCGGCACGTCCTGACCAGCGATGATCGCGTCTGCGTGGTTCCAGTATGTTTTGGTGTGACAGCGGTAGTCCAGCGTCAGAAGATTCCAGGACTGAAATCGACAAGGACGCGCTCTTCGGGATGAGTGAGTTTTTGTTTCGTACGCATTGAATGCGCTCATCGACTGTCCCCCGTTGACTAGATTGGAGAGGGTCTTGAAATTGACTTCATGCTTTTCAGCAATGGGTCTCAGTCCTCTCTTCTTTCCCTCCTTCTGTTGCTCCATCTTGTACTCGTCGATAGCATTTTGTAATTTTGTATTCTCTTTTCGACACAATTTTTGGTGTTTGACA